ATAGGCAGACGTTACGTAATAAACATACACTCACACAAACACACACACACACACAAGCACACACACAGATACACACACACGCACACACACAACCACACACACAAAAACACACAAACACACACAAAATAATTTAATATACATATGTTACATTTAACTCACACATACATTTAAACATACTAACACACTCACACACTCACATACACATACTTATTAGGTATGAATATATTTATTAATACACACAAAAACACATAAATACACACGTTCACACGTATGTCCTTGACCTATTCCAAAATTTAAAGCTTAAACTTAAAACTTCATATGAAAACCAGCCATTGATGTTTAATTGGATAATTTGATGAAACTGAATCAAGAAGGAGTGATTAATGTGCTACATGTAAATACAAGCCAGGACTCGCACACTCACACCCACTCACACTTACACATACACACACATACACACACTCACATACACTACACACAATTACAATGTCACACACATACACACATATAAACGTACGTTCACACACACGCACACACACACATACACACATATATACGCAGTACCATAAAAACTCACAAACGAGGCTCATTACTTATTTGAATATATTCATACTATTTGTATGTGGTTATTTCCATAGTAATATATCACTGTCACTCAGGACTTATTATTAACAAAAATTAATTTGGGTTTAGTAACAAACACACACTCACACACACACACACACGCGCACACACACAAACAAACAAAATATCATACACGCACATACACACACACACATATAAACACACAAACATACACAGGTAAACACACATACACAAACAGACACACATACGTACACAGGTAAACACACATACATACACAAGTAAACACACATACACACATGTTTATATACACACATAATAGCGTAAAACTAACAAAACACACAAGAGTGTGTGAATGAAAGTGTATGCGTTTCATATTTCAAACACCCATTAATCAAACCTCAATCTGACACATAAACATCTAGACTAGGCGGTTTTTTTTCCTACAATTTTTCGCAAACATCTTAGAAGCTAGAAATTGAAAATGAATCAATCGAATTTAACTCTACGTATTCTTAAATTCTGGTAACCATTTACATATAATTTATTTGTTTATTTAATTTTATATTATTTCATATTTATGATTATTATATATTTTTTTATTTATTTTTCCTTTATATTTTTTTTATTTATATTTATTTGTATCTATAAATACACTACAGGGCTAAACTTCCAAGCGAGAAGACCCCAGGTCAACAAAAGGGGCCGTAGACCCCAATTTATTTTGTGATACCCCCTCTATAGCCTATCTACTCCTAGGGCCCCATACTCATTTAGTGGTTTCATTTGTATCTGGTGTCTTTAGCTTTTTTGTTATCGGGAAAAGGGTTTTCATATAAGGAAAATATGTCTTGAAGTTATATTAATTATCTTTCTTAGGAAGGTTTATAATTTTTGCAGAAGCCATAAATTTGACCCTGGTTTACATCCGTTTTCATACTTTACAATTTTTCCACTTCATTTTTCCAAAATTGCAAGGCGATGCCGGGCAGTTTGTTAAACTTATGCCATCTGTAGATCAGATCAGAAATAAAAAAATAATTTGATGAATTGTTTTTGCAATAATATTACCTTTCATTTTTCAACTAGTTCAGTTTCTACTAACTGAAAGATAAAACACTCAGAATTATACATACGTCCTTAGTATACTAAAAGCTTTACTGATAGAGGCGTTCTGATGTTGCAGTAACCGGGGTTCAAATGCAGAGAAACGCCCGTATATCACATCCTCGTACGTTGAATCATTGCTATCCATGCGTACGGCGTGTGTGTTTTGCTAGCAGTATAATCTTTATAAATAGAAGATAATAAAGAAGTAAAATTTTTATAATTAGAAGATAATAAATTTTTTTGAATAGAAGATAATAAAGAAGATTGTTTGTCTAAGCCAGTTTTGTTTTTGTTCAAAATCTGCTCATATTCCACTACTTTGAATTTTTTATATGTTTAAAGCTGCTTATTTATCACTGAACTGACACTGATGATCGTTACAAGAAGTCTGGATTTCCTTTCGATTTCCAGATTGTTTCATTTCGTTGATTTCACTTTTCTGATTTGCATCGGTCGATTTGATGAAATAAAAATGTCTCGAATGTTGATAACATTGGTAAGTAAAACAATCAAAAAATGTATATATTACATAGTATAGTATTATTGTATAGTATATGTTATAGTATTATAATATAGTATATACATGCAGGCACATTAAACATTAGTTCTAGGGACACAAACAGACTAATAAGACCATAAAAATAATCTATCAGATACCAAAATGTCTAAAATAAATTTTGAAATCGCATATAGTAGCGCAGCTAGGAATGCATTGATACAGTGCAATGCAGTGCAGTGCATTCATGCATTGATGAAGTAGTAGTAGTAGTAGTAGTAGTAGTAGTAGTAGTAGTAGTAGTAGTAGTAGTAGTAGTAGTAGTAGTAGGTGAATGAATGCACTGCTCATTCACCTGAGCTATCTCCAACGTCTAACCTTTATGGGGAATATTGATCTGTATGTGGTGCTTGAATCTACAGTACAGAGAGAGAGAGAGAGAGAGAGAGAGAGAGAGAGAGA